TTAGATAAACCATTCTCAATTAGTACAGGTCAACAGGTCGGCGCTGCGGCGTTATGTTTTAGTGCATTTATACAGAGGCAGCAAAGAAGAAAACAGCTTCGTGGGAAAATACTAGAGGTGTGGCAAAGATCTTATTCAGTTCTAAAAGTCTATCCATTCTAATGATTATAACTTTATTAATACCGTTTGCTTAACTACCATTTTGCAAGAATAAGAACTAGGTGGCTGCAAAGGATTTTTTTTTTTTTAAAGACAAACCCCATTAATACTGAATCTGATCATCTGGGTTTATGAGCTGACCATGCCCCTGCTGCTGCGAAAGCACAAACCACGAAAGTAAGTCACCAGCTTTAGGTCTTTCTCCTTAGTGCCAGTTACAGTGCTATCCCTCAAAGAGGCAGCGCTGCTCATAATGTACTGTTGTTCATCCCTGATGTAACTCCAGCCAATGGCATTATGCCAGGGATGAACTTGGCCCAATATGTCATATTCACTGTGCCAATATTTGTAGCCAGTCACGCACACTTTACTATTCTATCTGCTTGTGATGAGCGGTAAGGGACAAATGACTTTTGTTATGAGTATTTGCAAAAAACACACTGCGTGCAAATCGCCATTCCTTCCCTTCCCTCTCCAAATTTAGTTTTACAAAATAGCTAGAGTCCTGTGTTGGTCCTTCTGCATCAAACATTCCTCAAACTCCCAGATATGGGAGCGGCTATCTAATAAGTAAGCAGTTTCTAATTTAAATGGCATTTGGTAGGAGGCAAGTGTTAGATTCTCAACAAGAAAATCAATAGTGGTTTTAGACCTTCAGTGGTACAGCCTCATGGGGCTCCACCTGTGGCCCCCGCACCACCTGTGTCCTCTCCCCCATACGCCTCTTGTGCACTGGGGCACCAAGACCCTCTTCTCCTCCATCCCAGCACTTTTGGAGGAGCCGCTGTGTCCCCGCTCCTCCCCATCCCTCCCAGAGCTGGAATGCCAGGAAAAGCTGATTCATGGTGTTCTGCCAATGGGGGTGGGGTGGAGGTTGAGGGGGATGAATGGGGTAACTGGCCAGGGGCCTGGCAATTCCATTGGGCAGGGACTCATGGCTGTTGCTGCCGCTACCACAGGAGCAGCAGAGGTGGCTGGAGCCCCAGGCATTTTAAGTTGCTGTGGGATAGCTACAAGGCATGCTCCTGGTGGCTCTCAGGGCTAGCTGGGAGGTGAAGGGTTCAGCATGGCGTGATACAGGCGCACTCCTTGAGCAACCCAGGTGGAAGCACCCAGCCCAGTCCCCTCCTGAGTGGATCTTGAGGCGTTGAACCAGAGAGCTGCAAATGTGTTAAAGACATGGGCCCAGGAGTGTTTGAAGCACTCCCCAGCCAGAGCCTGGGACAGCCCCTGTTGGCAGAGACACAGAGCCGGCATCTTCCAACCAAAGCAGAATTTATTTCTCCTCAGGGATATGAAACATTCAGGAGTGGGGGGAGGGTGGGTAACAAGAAGCTGGGAGAAATTGTCCTACCCCAACTTTTTTCTGCTGAAAAATGCCGATTTGGGTTTGAGAAGGGCTTGGACTTGATTTTTAAGCCTGGGTGTTATGGGGGCCCAAAAATACATTTGTCACCAGGCCCACAAAAAGTTAATCTGGCCCTGCAGCATTTGTTAGTTAATTTATTCAATAGTTAACCTCATGAAATGTCTTTGCAGCTAAGTAAAAATATTCAAGACAATAACCCTGGCTAATAATATCAAACTGATGAGCAAAGAAACAGCACCACATTCTCAGCTGATGATGTGGCAAAGATCAAGCAATTCTGCAAAGCTCAAACTAAAGTATATTACAAATTGCACTAACACAGGCTACTGGATAATGAGATTTCATTCTAACGTTGATAATGTGCAATGTAAATGTTTCCTTGTTTCTTAAACAGGGTATCTTTGACCATTTAAGCAAGTCTAGCACCAGGCATTCACGGCCATGAGTATATTAAAAAAAAGCCATTTTGTGTATGGTACTTGGCAGTAATGAGAAAGTTCTCAACAATGGGACAGACATTAGAGGAGACATCAATTTCTTATTAATAGGTAAGAGCATGTAGAGTTAATAATGCATTGATGAATTATTTTTATTGCTCCCCTCTTTATCATCATGCTGGTGTTGTTCTGTTATGCAATATTAGTGAGAAAATAAAAGCCAAACTAGTGCAATGACTTGCATCATTTTTTCTTTTGCAAAAATATTTGATACTGTCTTAAAATCAGTGTGTTTTATTTTGGGGCACATGTTTACAGTCTGTTTTGTTCAACACTTTCCCACTTCCTTGACATCTGTTCTATGCTCCTACCTTGGGGAGTCATAATGGGGAACATAGTAGAATCTGAAAATTACAAATACCAGGGACCTGACTAGTCAATGACATGCCACATGTGGAACTGAAAGTACATAATCGAGCAGTAGCAAAGATGGAGGTGGGAAGCAAACACTGTACAGGACTGTGTGAACTAAAGGCTACTATGAAATAAAAGGAAAGCAGGATTTTTCTTCTGCACAGGAATGTTTCAAAGCTGTATTAAGTCAATATTCTGTTGTAAACTTCTGAAAAAACAACCACAGTGTTTTGCATCACACAATCCGTTGCCTATAGCCAAGCAATAAGATACAACCACATTTGCTCCAATCCCTCCGACAGAGACAAGCACCTACAGGATCTCTATCAAGCATCCTTAAAACTACAAGTCCACCTGGGGAAGTTAAAAAACAGGTTGATAGATCCAGGTAGGTATCCAGAAGTCACCTATTATCAGACAGACACAACGAAGAAAACAACAGAATGCCACTGGCCATTACCTACAGACCCCAGCTAAAACCTCTCCAACACATCAAGGATCTACAACCTATTCTAGATGACAATCCCTTGCTCTCATAAACCTTGGGAGGCAAACAGCCTCCCACCCCAATCTGAAACACTCACCACCACACACACTAACCCATTGCCAACTCTATCCACACATCTATCCTAGTGACATAATCACAGAAGCTAACTACATCAGCTATACCATGAAAGGCTCATTCACTGCACATCCACTAATGTGATATATGCCATCAGGCCAGCAATGACCCACTGCTATGTACATTGGACCAGACTGACTCTCCACAACAGAATTAATCAACACAACTCAGACATCAAGAATGACAACATACAAAAATCAGTGGGGGAACATTTTAACCACCCTGGGCACATAGCTGTAGCTGTGAAAGCTGCCAAAATCAAGTAAAAAAATCTTTAAAAACAGGCTCCAACATGAAACTGCTGAGCTGGAATTCATATGCAAATTTGACACCATCAGAATGAGTCTGAATAGGGACTGGGAATGGCTCACTAATTAAATACATAATTTTCCACTTTGGATATTCCCACCACCTAATCCACATCCACCCTGACGGAATTAGCTCTGATGTAAAACTCCCAGTTCTGTATCTCTTGTGGAAAAGGCCCCTCTTACCCAAGCCACTGCTTGGGCCAGCCTCTCGCCCCCTTCCCCAGGGGTCAGGGCTTGTAGCTGGTTTCTGGAGTAGGGAGCCCAGCCATTCCTCCTGGGACTTCCTCCCCTGCTGTTTCTGTTTACTGACAAACTGGCTTTCCTCTACTTCTCCTTCCTACTTCTCACTCTCCCCATCACCTTCCAATAGTGGAGGCTTTTAAAAGCCTCCACCAAGCCAGCAGTGGAGCCAGCTTCCTACCAGCTGCTTCTAATTATCCTGTTGCTCTCTGCTTCTATTTAGCAGGTCTTTTATCCTTTGGGGGCTGCCTTTCTCCCACTGCAGTAGCCCTCTGGAGTGACCCTGCCACACTCTATTGTTTCTTTCCCTTCATGTATTTGATGAAGTGAGTTGCAACTCATGAAAGGTAGCAGTGTTAGTCTAGCACCAATATTGTTTGATTGAACTTTCTTGTGCCTTTATGCTGGAAATTTTTTTATTGTGTGTGTGTGTGTGTGTGTGGCGCGGGGGGGGAAGGGGAGAGGAGAGGGTGCAGAGAGCTCTTGAACCCAACTGGAAATCCTTTCTATAACGGAAACCACTTCAAGCTGGGGAGGCGAGGCTGCAGTAGCCCCCTCACCTGTCGTTTCAACACCTATGGCTGTAATCTCTTGTCTTACATTGAAATTATCCCTACCCCATGGCATTTAACCTGGTCCTGTGTTTGTACACTTTTTTTGTGTAACACACTGAGGTCTTGTCCATGTGTATGGTTCCCAGGTGCTATGGTAATATATATAAGTGTAAGAAATGACATTTTATGGAATTTAGCATAAATACTTTTCTAGGATTTATATTTGCAATAATAAAAAATAAGTCTTGTGTAAGATGCAGGCAAGTGGCAGACAAAAATGAATATCTATCACTGAGGGAATATGAAAGAATTACAATCTCAAACAATTTAAATACAAACATTCCAAGAACTATAGTGAATATGCTAAATGATAATAATTATCTGAGCATGTCAAAGTTTTTTTTTTTAAAGTTACAAGTGGTATCAACCCTAACATGCGCCATCACTAACTCTGTTTTTTTGAAATATACTTATAGATGTGTGTTCTGTGAAACCAGTACACCGGAACTCGAGTGTTCTAAAAAGTCTGTCCTTTCGCCTTAAACCCGTTTTCACTTTTGCCAGAGGAAAAGAGTTTAAAGCGGCTCTTCTCAAAGCATTCAGAGAAACTTGGTTACAGTATAGCCCTGTTCCTCAGTTTTTTCACTCTATAAACAGTGATAATGATCAATGTTTTGAATCTAAGAAAAAGCAGTATCTCTTGGACAAGATGCACAAAGGACAATCAAGTCAAGGTGTCAGATAATGTTGTATTTATCAGTTAGTGTTTAGCTACTGTTACGTTCTCAGGTCTTTGAAGCTAGTCTTATTTTGAAAGTTTTGTACGTAAAAACAAGCAGCTGACAGACAACTAGAGAGTACAGTAGCTAATGAATCAGTTGATGAAAAGGTATTGGGAGCATTTAGTAAGTGTGTATATTTACTTGAATGTGTATGTCAAGATAAGATGCCAGCAGCACAGTAAAACAGTGTCAGTCATCGTAGTAAAATGGATAACCTTGCTTCATGATGATTTTTAAACAGATTTTTTTTAAATCTTCTCTCTTTGTTCTATGGCTCTTCATGTTCATGGAGACTTAAAGCAAACGGCAGAAATCTCACACAATGACACATTTCCATCTGCAATAAGCAGAACCCACAAGCCCAACAACTTCAGACACTTTATCGGTTTTATGACAGTACCCAGCCTTATTTAAGATGATGCTTTATTTTTCACTCTTAAGATTTTAGCAGCAAGGCTAAACTGAAAGATAACTCTAAAAACATTTGTGTGGTTGAGGCATCCAGATTACTTCAAAGATCGATCTTTGTCATGATTTTTGTCTTAGATTCCATTCATCCTATGTCTCTGAAAATGAAGAAAATGCAACTTATAACAGTGAAATGCCAAAACTTGATTGACTCTAGAAACACAAACAACTATTTCCAGGAACAACATTAAACAGTGTAATCTGGATGCAGATCAAGACAAGCTAAGAGACAGAAATGTTATAGGAAAGTGAAATTTGTCAGTATGCTGTTGGAAGACTTGTTTTATATTGAATTACAGTGAACCCTCGTTTATCGCGGTAGATAGGTTCCAAACCCGACCGCGATAGCTGAAAATCCGCGAAGTAGGATCCTCAAAGCCTCGGGGGAAGCCGGCGGGGGAGCAGCCCAGGCGCGCCTGGGCTGCTTCCCCGCCGGAGCCCCTCCGCGGCTTTCAAAGCCTCGGGGGAAGCCGGCGGGGGAGCAGCCCAGGCGCGCCTGGGCTGCTTCCCCGCCGGAGCCCCTCCGCGGCTTTCAAAGCCTCGGGGGAAGCCGGCGGGGGAGCAGCCCAGGCGCGCCTGGGCTGCTTCCCCGCCGGAGCCCCTCCGCGGCTTTCAAAGCCTCGGGGGAAGCCGGCGGGGGAGCAGCCCAGGCGCGCCTGGGCTGCTCCCCCGCCGGCTTCCCCCGAGGCTTTGAGGATCCTACTTCGCGGATTTTCAGCTATCGCGGTCGGGTTTGGAACCTATCTACCGCGATAAACGAGGGTTCACTGTACTGCTATTTTCTCTTGTGGTACTCTTGTGCCTTGCTATGGATGTTGGGATTAGCCAGTTCTTCATCCTTGCTGGATTTGGAGGTTTCATTTTGGTCAGGGTAGAATAAAAGTTCTCAGTTTAGGACTATGTCTGTGCAACTCCTTGCCTCAAGAAGAATATTAGAGACCCTGTTTTATTCAAGACTCAGTGTAAGGCCACCTGATTTGGTGACTTGTTTTTTAAATAGTTTTAACTTGCTCTCTATTATTATTATTTTTTCTTTTTAAATGTTATAAAATTCTTTTACTTGCAAAAGAATTTTTTGGCTATTGGGCAGAGATGCTTTTCTTTAAGATGAGCATAATAAAAACTAGAGAATACAGTAGCAGACGTTTTATGTTTGAGGATGAGGATTGAGGAGATGAGGACAGTTACCACTTGTACGTCAGGTTTACACACAGTGAGCAGGAGAGCATATAATATATAATCCTGGCTTCAATGAAGTCTGTGGCAAACCCTCAATTAAATTTAATGAGATCAGGATTTCACCCACTATGACTAAATGCATTTTCCTTCATTTTCTTAAATTAATCTCAATAGCTACTTTACATGGGAATAAGTTGGAATAAAAAAATCTTTAATGGTGGGTATCTGAAAACATTGGCTTGTAGCTAACAGAATGGGGTGTAGAAGCCATATACATTCATTGCTTTTAGGGTGTGTAATACAGAAAATCTGTGCGTGCGCACGTGTGTATGCATATACACAGCATGTGGCAGCAAGCTGCCCAGCCTGGACTGACCAACTTGGGCTTGTGCTAGCATACTAAAAATAGCTTCAAAAACAGCACTTTGAAACTGCAACTTGGACTCTGAAGCCTGAACCACAGTGCCAAAGTGCTATCTCAGGGTACGTCTAGACTACAGGCTTTTGTCGACAGAAGTTTTGTCGACAGATACTGTCGACAAAGAGCGTCTAGACGACATTCAGTTCTGTCGACAAAGCAAGCTGCTTTGTCGACAAAACCCTGTAGTCTAGACACAACCCTAGATGCAATAACACTTTCTGTCGACAGAGCTCTGTCGACAGAAGGCGTTATGCCTCGTAAAAAGAGGTTTACCAGCGTCGACAAAACTGCTGAGTTCTGTCGACATTATGTCGACAGAACTCAGCAGTAGTGTAGACGCAGGTATAATTTTGTCGACAAATCCACTTTTGTCGACAAAACCCTGTAGTCTAGACACACCCTATGGCTACTTTCACAGTGCTAGAATGAGGTGGTCAACACAGACTAGGCGGTTTACTACTCTGGGCTGTGTAAGCAGCAAACTGCTGCAGATTATATAAGCAACAATGCAGAGTGCAAGGAGGGAAGGAAGTACTTCAAATGAAGAGATTGAAATCTTGCCACCTTGCTTAATAAGTGACAGGCTCTTTACTGTATCTTATTTATGTGTTAAGACTGAGTCCCCTGGACATTTTGCTCAGCTTCTGCTTGTTTAAATTCACTTTTCCTAAAGTACCTATCACACTTACACACAACCCAAAATTATTCTGCAAAATAGCCTTGTTTTGAAAACACCTGAATCTTTTAGCTGAAAAGACAATACTTACATTTTCTAAAATCCAAGCTTCTTTGTTTTCTCTCATTTTTTGGCGGTATTTCTTTTTTATGCAACATGTGCTTATAATAGTGACCAGTAGCATAAAGACAAATATAGCAATTGATGAAGAAACAGTTATTATAATATTTTCTTTAGTTGTGCCTTTCTTCTCACACTTCTCTCCCATATACCACCAGTTATCACCTACAGCACACCTATAAAATAAGAGCAATACTTAGCACATTTAATCTACGATATATGATATATATCATCTCAATCATTGGCACACTTACAACGGGATTATCTGGCTATATTGACACTCTCCGCAGACCTTATGCTACCAGCACTCTTAGCTATCTTCAAGACACCACCGACTTCCTGAGGAAACTACAAAACATCAGTAATCTTCCTGAAGCCACCATGGACGTAGAAGCTCTTTACACCACATTTTACATGAAAACCGATTACAGGCTATCAGGAACACAATCCCCAATGACAGCACTGCACATCTGATTAGAGCTCTGCCACTTTGTCCTCACCCACAACTACTTCCAATTTGGAGACAATTTGTATCTTCAAGTCAGCGGCACAGCCATGGGCACCTGCATGGCACCACAATATGCCAACATCTTTATGGCTGACCTTGAACAATGTTTCCACAGCTCTCGCCCCCTTACTCTATTTATGCTACATTGATGACATCATATGCACCCCCCGGGAAAGAGACTCTTAAGAATTTCACAGGGATTTCAGCAACTTCCATCCCACCATCAACCTCAGCCTGGATCAATCCACACGAGAGACCCACTTCCTTGACACAACAGTACAATTAAATGATGGACAAATTTCCACAACTGTATTCTGGAAACCTACCGACTGCTACACTTACCTTCATATCTCTAGCTTCCATCCCAGACACATTCTCCATCTACTGTATACAGCCAAGCCCTAATATACAACCAGATTTGCTCCAATCCCAAAGACAAATACAAACACCTACAGGATTTATACAGAGCATTCTTAAAACTGAAATACCTACTCAGAAACATGGAAAAAACAGATCAACAGGGCCAAAAAGAGTACCCAGACGTGAACTACTTCAGACGTGAAGATAGGCCAAGAAGAGAAAACAGAATTCCACTTGTCATCACATACAGCCCACAATTTAAACCCCTCCAACGCATTATCAACAATCTAAAACCTATCCTGGAAAATGACCCTCTCACAGGCCTTGGGCGGGAGAGGGGGGAGGCTAATCTTCATCTACAGACAACCCCCTCATTCAGCATTTCTCAACCAGGGGGGTCATGAGCAAGTTGGGGGGGGAGCAGTCGCAGGTTAGGGTTGCCAGGTGTCTGCTATTCAACTAGACAGTCAGTTTTTTGGGTCCTGTGTCCGGTTAAAAAAAAATTCAGAAAATACCAGATATGTGCAATGTCCGGTATCTTCTGGCTGGGTCCCTGACGGAAGCCTGGTGGGGGGAGTGGCTGGGAGGTGGGGGCGCGATCAGCGCTGAGAGCCTCTGGTTGTGTGTGATGCCTTGGGGAGGAGGGGAAGCCCTGTATGTGCTCCTGAGAGCTGGTCAAGCACGTGGTGGAGCCACAGCCGAACTCACTCGCGCTTTGCCAGGACTGTGAGTGGGACTTGCAGCGCCCTGGGATCTGCATGTGCCTGGGTCAGTCCTGCTCTCCGCCAGCCAATTTGCGCTGCCCCTGACACCTTCCTGGCCGACTGGTTCTCCCCCACTTCTCCTCCCGATCTTTCCTGGCCAGCCCGCTGCTCCCACCAGCTCTGCTTCCAGCAGCCAGTTCTCCCCACTTCCTCCTGATCTCCCTTGGCCAGCCCTGCTGCCCCCCCAACTCCTCCCCCACCTCGGCCAGCCCTGCTTCCTGCCGGCCAGTTCCCCCGCCCGATCTCCCCCGGTCAGCCCTGCTGCCCCCGACAACCCCCCAACTTCCCCTTTACTCGTGGAGCAGTGAGGGTGGGGGGGTCACACAAATTTATTTAGCATTTTAGGGGGTCGCGGTATCACCAAGTTTGAGAACCCCTGCCCTAACCTCAAACAAATTCTTTCTAGTAACCACGCAACACAGCTCCATCAGAATCATCCAGGAACTACCTCTGCAATCAGCACAGGTGCAACTCTGCCCACACATCTACACGGGTGATTTTATCACTGAACCAAACATCATCAGCCACTACATCAGGGGCTCATTTAACTGCACATCCACTAATGTGATCTATGCATTCAAGTGCCAGCAATGCCCCACTGGCATGTATATTGGCCAAACTGGACAGTCTTTATGGGAAAGAATTAATGGACACAAATCAGATACCCAAAAAGGCAACACACAAAAACCTGTTGGAGAACACTTTAATCTACCCAGGCACTCATTAATGGATCTCCAAGTCACTGTGTTGTTTCAAGCCAATTTTACAAGCCAAATACACAGGGAAGGGTTGGAACTTAACTTCGTTGACAAGTCTGAGTCTTATCAGAATGGAATGAACAGAGATATTGGCTGGCTCACACTTCCTTCCCCATCCTAATGACTTAACCAACCAAACAATGGAGGTGCTAATTGTTCTCATCAGCCTCTTGTAACTACTTGAACAATCTATTCACTGTCTTTTTTTCTCCTTTTTTTTCCTCCTTCCCCAACTTATTTATTCTTGGATCTGAACTTTTAATACTTCAGTCATCTGAAGAAGTGGGTTATGCCCACCAAAGCTCATGATTCTATCTACATGTTTTATTAGCCTTTAAGGTGCTACTATTCAGTTTTTTTAAAGTTTTTCTAGTTACAGACTAACTCGGCTGCCCTTCTGAAGGTTTTAAAATTCAAAGCAATTCAATTAGCACACTCTAGCAGCCCTCTTCTTCCAGGATTCTCATCTCGTCTTCTCTCTCTCCCTCATTATTGATCATATATATCAATTTGTTAAACTGAAGACAATCAGGATGGGACTCTGGCCCAAATTCTGAGATCTAACCAAGTAGTGTTTTGGTATTAGGAGCTGGGAGGCAGGGAAGCAACAATAGCTTCACCACTGCAATACCCCAGTTCTGGGACTGGCTCAACTGAAGATGCTCCAGTCATGTCGTCTTTCCTTGTCCAGGCCTTCTCACCTACTAGCTGGGAGGAATGGTACTGTAGGGCTGCCCTTAGAGATTTTCCTTATACTGCAGCAACTTCTGTATGGCCCCTTTTGTTCCCCCCCTCTGAAAAAGAAATTGGTAGGACAAACAGAGCACCATCCACCAAAAAGTAGAAAAAGTCTTCTGTTCTAAAGAACTGCTTCCCTCTCCTTAGCTAGGTTTGCTATTATGCCCAGGAGATATAAGTGCCGGCTCAGGGAGCAGGTGCTTTCAGGGTCTTTATTGAAAAATACCACTTTACATTTATATTACTAGTGAGTTTATAAATGCCCTGTTCCTTCTGATCTATGCACCTGGTAACTCCTTAGGCAGCAGTTTGCAGCTGTCCGCACCCTTTAAACACCCTTTCTATTAAATTATGGCCACAGTCTATGGCCACAGAATTAACTCAGTTACCTGCATTCTGGTTTTTCCCCTACAACAGTGCAGACACCGCCATTTTCACAGGGATAATTTCTACAGGTTCTGCCTGGAGCTGTGGTATTTATAAAGACTGATTGATTAATCAGATGTGAGATGTCTAAAGAAAAAAAAAAAGGAGCATGAGGTTTTCAGTCCGTGCTATTTTCTAAGCGTACATCTACAGTGAGAAGCTATTTTGGGATACCAGAAGTATCCTGAAATAGCTATTCCATGTCTAACAAAGCAGTCCATTATTTTGAAATAGATTTTGAAATAATGGGCAGCTTATTCCAACGTCCCGGTAACCCTCTTTCTATGAGGGTTAAGGGGCATTTTGGAATAGCGAGTTATTTTGAAATTTGGTGCTGTGTAGATAGTGCCAAATTTCAAAGTACACTAAAAATAGGCAATGCAATTTGTGTAGTGCAAATTGAGTAGCTTATTTCAAGCTAAGGGTGCTGTGTAGAAACACCCTAATAGACCAGCTATACAATTTTCCATTATCCTGTTTTTTAAAACTGTCTCGTGTTCTGCAAAGGGACAAAATATTTCCCCAACAAGAATACATAACACAAAATACTGCACTACTGATGAATTCTAAAGGTAAATAGCAATAATATACTGGCGGAAGCAATTTTCAGCTGTTACAAATAAATAACTGATATTTTCAACTTTCAGCAACATGAAATTCCTATGCCATGTTTTGCAGTTTACATTCAGAAATAGACAAGAGACCAGAAGTGATCTAAGTAATTTTGTACAGGAACAGCTTTACGTATTGTATAGTTAGATTTTTAACCCACTAATGAGCTAAGTAGTGATTATACAGTGAATAATGGAGCAATTTAGTCAAGCACATGATTAACTTTAAACATATGAATAAATCCACTGACCCTCAGGACTACTCATGCATAAAGCTAATCGTGTGCATATGTTTGTAGGAGGGGGACCTTACGTGGTACTAAAAACATAATACTGCATGCTTATGACATTATAATAAAATGTAACTACATATAGCTACCATCAAGGCTTACATACCTTCCATTGACAAAAGAATGAAAACCCCATCATCTTTGATGAAGTTGAGGCTTCTGAGTCTTTGATGAGTTAGATATCCACTAGTTCCTCGTCCTGGCCCTCTCATGAATTGAGTCCCATTACTGAAATTAGCAGGTGCTCCTACTTTGTCTGGTCTGTCCCAAAAATATGAAGAGGAACCTGGAAGGGGGGAATTAGTATATGTGTGTGTTCTGAATATGAAAACAGGAAGTTGTCCAAAACTCAGTTAAGGAGAAGCAATGGTTGTATTCATAAAAGTACATAAATTGTCACCTCTCCCCTCTCCACACCTTCCAGCCCTCAGAATCTACACAAGTGCAAAGTGGGTTTTTACCCCCTAAAGCTCATGATATATTTGTTAGTCTCTGGACTGCTTGTTGTTTTTCAAGTGTGAAGTGTCTCTCAGGAAGCTATTTCAAGGAAGGCTACTGGTGGCTTCTTAAATAGATTTTTATGTGGGAGTGGAAGAAGAGGAATCTGAAGCCAATTCTGTGTCATCCAAAAAAACCTGTTGTGGAATATTTTTTGGAAGAGAAAATTGGTAGCACATGATTTGTTTTTAAAATGCTCTAGTGTGGTGGTTCTCAAAAGTGAAGCATTTGCTGGTAGTCTGTGGACAACAAGCTAGCCACAAGTTGTTAACTCTTCCTCCAGACATGCCAGCTTGACATTGCAAAGCAGGGGACCGGACACCTGTGGAAATAATGTAGTGAAGGAGTGAAGTGAAGTAATGTAGTGAAGGAGCCAGCCTAGATGCCTGTAATTAAAGGCTTCTGCTACCTAGAAAGAGCAGAATTAAGAGCTAGCCTTGGGGATAGAAGCTGCCAGCAGCATACAAATGACCAAGTGAAAAGAGAAGAAGGAAAGTGGGCTGCATGTGCAGGGATGTAGAGAACCAAGTGGAGCTAAGCAGCATGCCCATAGGCCCATATATGGGATAGAAAAGGACTAAGTGTCATGGACTAGAATGTACAGGGGAAGAAAAGGACCATCAACAGGAAATCTTGTGTAGTGTTTTAATTTATTAAAATGGGGGACCCATCACTGAATTTTCTTCTTTTAAATTGGCTATAAGCTGTCACCATTCCATCTCGTCTCTTTTCTCTCATCCCCTCTAGCTGCAGGTTATTGAATTTGAATGATTAGTCCTTTGTCCATTTGAAGATGAGGTTTGACACCAAGGCTCCAATCATCATGGGCTCTCGTTAATGACGGCATGCTTACAGCGTATTCAGTCATGCCTATTGAATAGTTGGTTATTTCTGCAGATCTATTTTCAAGAGGGTTGTAACACTACCTGCTCAAAAGCAGATGTATAGGTTACTGCTTGTATCAGATGAAAGATATCTTCAGAGAGGATGCCAAGGCCCCTCTTCAATCTAAACTGTCCTGTCCCACTCGGGGACATACAATTCTTGTATGTCTCTGCTTCCTATCATGGCATCAAATTCCTTACTGATGTAAATAAGTGAAACTCTACTGAAGACAATGGAGTTGCACTTATTTGTACTAGAAGAGAATTTGACCCATTGTCTTTCTGTTCTGTTTTTATCAAAAGCAAGACAATGTATTGTGTAAACAAGACAGTGTAGTCAATTTTTAGCTAACCTGTTAGTACAGATGTATCTGTTGTTATGCTTCTTTGATTGGACATGCGTTGACGAATATCAGGATTTTGATCCAACAGCTCCATAGTAACTTGTTGCCATACACAAGGCCACTGCAGACGATCATCATTTACTCCAGAAATTAAGTACAAATATATTGCCAAGGTGAATGGGTTGTCACTAGTACCGTTTACATACAAGCCAACCTGAAAAGCATATCCTTTACTAGAGTAAAAAGGTGGACTGAATATTCTTCCCTTTGTCCCTGCAGGACTTGTATTGAGGAGATGGGTAACATTTCTTATATGCCAGACATGATGGGGACACTCTGTTTCTGAAAGGTTAATATCATCAATAGAGAGGCCTCCATTGGATGAACCATGTCCTTTTACGCCTTCAAATGCAATCCTGAATTTCCTTGTGACCTTCAAAGGAATGTGGTAAAGCTGCCAATAATCCAGAGGTGAACCTGAAAGAAAATTGTGGGGTTTTCCAAGATGCCAAACAAAGCAGTCAAATACTATACAATATTCAGGACCTGTTACAGCATTATACAAAAATGTATTAATTTCGTTAGAGCTGAGATTGCCAGTCTCTCATAAACACTGCTTTTCATGAAATTTAAAAATGTGCAGGAATACATTATTTTCCCTTCTAATTTTCTAATGTATGTTTAATTGTTTCACATGCACAACATTTACTGAATTTAATAGTGGAAAAAATTATAATTTAGAGATTTTTTTCTTGATTATGTATTTTCAAAATAATTTGGTAGTGAGTTCATCCAGATGTTGTAATTACTGGACATGCACCAAAAAAACTACCTAATACCTCTGCAACAAATCCGTCTTCCACAAACAAAACAATCCACATCTCACCACCACTATTACCAAAAAGCAGCCCACGTGCATGGACAGGTTTTTATTTTTCAAGTTTAAAAAAAAAAAAAAAAAAGTTGGATTGATTTTTAAATGAAAGCTGTTTAATTGCCGATTTTAATCATGATGTAATTCAGCAACCAGGAAACCTTGATTTAAATACATTTTGTGTGCGCTTCGCACCTATATTTTTTTAGTTACTTTTTCTTGTCTCAAGAAAGACTGATTCTCATTGGCTGATAACTACTGGCTGGCAACTACTAAAATATGTTGATTTGCAACTAAATATAGCTTCTGCACCAAATATTGTGCTTGCTTTGCTTTTTCTTTTTTGGCCCACCAGGAAAGCACACTATATCTGTACATATTTATTAAACTTATTTAAGCATTTATGTAACTTAATTTATAGGTATTCAGATACTCAGTTTTTATATTAGAAAAGGGGTAATGATGCCTTTTTTGATTACTAGATTAATTTTTACTTGTGATTTATGTCAAACTCTATTTGGATGGAAATTCAAGTAAATTAAAATGCACAAAAGAAACATTTTAATTTTTTATTAATAAAACTTCTTTAAATATTCTAGATCAGTGTTTCTCAAAGTGGTCCGCTCCTGTTTGTTTACCAGCTCTGCAGCTATGGAACGGCTCCCATTGGCTGCGGTTCACCATTTGCAGCCAAAGGGAGCGTAGGAAGCAGCCTGGACCGGGCTGCTACTTCCCTTTGCTCTCCTTTGCTGCAAAGAGTGAACAGGAGCCAATGGGAGCCACGAGGCTCTCTGGCTGCGGAGCCAGTAAACAAACGGGAGGGCCAGTTAGCAGGTTTCTCAGTAGATCCATGGACCACTTTGAGAAACTTTTCTAGATACATAAAGAAAAATGTGTATCAAACATTTGCCATTGAGAAAACTGATTTATTAAGCAAAGGAAATATTAACTGTATTTAGTGAATTGACTGGATTATTTCCTATCACCATGTTCTCCGGGACTTTGAAATTAGCAGATCTTACCCTGTCACATCTATTTTCTCAGCTCCCAACTGAGACTTTGAATTAATCAATCATTGTATTGAACTAATCAAATAAAATGAAATAAAATATTCTCTGCAGTTGCAGAAGATACTACTGCTAGCACAAGTTGGTTTAGTATGTCAACATATTCTGATTCCAGGTGCATAGCTAATGTCTTCCACCAGTTTAGTGGCTTGACTTCCTTTAAACTTTGACAGTAGCTATGTGCTGACTAAAGTTATTTTTGTATTTAGTTTAAATGATTGATAATAAATTTAGGGCTTAATATAGGTTTTCAATTTCAAATTTAATTTTAAATAGGTTTATTTTTTTAAAACTGTACTTAATTGTTTTTAAACCAGATTTCAATATTTTTTAATCATTGACTTATCCACCTTGAAGTGCAGACAGGCAGATACCAACCAAACATCCATGAGAGAGATTTCAGGTAGTAGGATGAAATATATAGAGAGAGGACTTACTATCAAAATAGGTTTAATGAGATTTAAGGATCCCTTTAAATTAACCTTAGGTCTATATTAGGCCCTGAGAAGCCCTGATCCCTCAGAGGGAAATCTGCTAATTGTATAGGGATGACAAAAGCACCACAACCACGAGCAGATGTGAGCAATCAAGCATGTAGCAAGACAAAGCTCAAGGACTTGAGATTTGTTACAGGGAAGAACTTGTAAGCAAACAGATCTAATTAGATTTAGGCTATGTCTGTGCTATGAAGACTATACCTACATAGGCATGTCAGCATAACCCTTTAGTCAACATTGATAGGGTTTTTCCCCATTAGTGTGAGAACACCATCTCCCCAAATGATTAGTAATTACTGTTCTTTCCTCAGTGACTCTGTGATGTTTTCCACACTCATGGCCAAAAAAGCTATACTGACTAATGAAGTGCAGGATAAGCCTTTGTTGTAAAGGAAAACTAGACTATAGAGAATATTTATTATTCAATCTAAAAGAGTGAGCATATGAATAACTGTATGTTTAGGTACGGTGCATTTGGTTTTTCTAATGATATCTACCTTGACTTATTAGCAATGACAAAAGATCTTCTGCCAGATCCAAAACCTGATGAATCAATGAAAAAAAAAAAAAAGTTGATTTCAATGCATTTTAATTAGTCCTTATGTGAAAAATATACCACTGTTGACTGGACCTAGAAGCCTGGAAATTGGTGGGCTTTTAAAATCAGTTTTAAAGTTTATTATATTTTCAAAAAATGGAGGGAGAGGAGAAAATATTTCAGAAGTGTCCAAGTGACTTAGGATCCTAAGTTCTGCTGCTTTCCAAAAGACATTAGGTACCTAAATCACTTAAGTGTATTTACAGTTGAAAGCTCACAGTATATATCTTGTTGTGTGCCAACTGCAAATTATGGTATGTTATTTGCATACTTCTGTGAAGAGAGTCCAAATACTGTTAAGTGTCTGGAAATATTTTCTTCCAATCTGTAAGGTCCCTTAGACCAGGGTTCTAGGTTAATTTAAATTCACTCCAATTTTTTCACTTTTGTAGTATTTCATATCTTAAATGCAAATTAATATTAATAATTATCTGCCATTTTAGATCAGCTATCATGCTTGTGGACCTTTAGCTATATTAGGTGAGAGAACCATACTGAAATGTGCAAGTCAGTTGCGGTAACCGACTATGTTACTGGAAAATGACTGACTGAGGTTGTATCACATTAACTCCTCAGCTAATACAATCACTGCAGTAGCAAAAGAGAAGAAAGCAAATAATAAAACTGCAGAGGACAGGAGTTAAAAGGGGAACAGTGATAAAGAAAAATGCCACTTCACTGTATTGTGCTTTTTCCTCTCAGTAGTCTGCTAAGCATATTGAATATATATTGAACCAGAAAGCACACATTTAACAACCAACTTTATTTCATACCTTGTATCCTTTCAACGAGTCTTAAAGCACTAGTGGAGCCGTCTAAAGCATACTCCCTGACTAAGATGTTCAGGTAATCACTTTCATGACCGCTGTTGTAATAATAGAATTGTAAGCACTGAAATCCTCTTTTGGGATATAGAATTCGGCTCTCCAGAACAGCTGAGTCTCTGATTTTGCCAGTGCTGGTATTGAAATGCATGAAGTACCCAGTATCTGTCAAAAGTGCATGGGAAATGCAAAAGAAAAAAATAGTTTTACATTTTTATTAATAATATTTAACATTATGTTTTGGTAATGCCTAGAGGGTTTAGCCAATTGGGGGCCACATGTTAGGTCCTGTAAAAACATAGTAAATGGTGGTCCTTACCCCAAAGGGCTTAGTCTCTGGGGATAGGGTATTGAAGTACAGCGAAATTCTCTCTTGCTATCTGTTTTCTCCATTTGCCTGTCTCTTATTATCCATGTTCCAAAAGATTTAGCCATTTAGAATAACTGAAATAATATAGTCTGCATCTACACAACAAGCAGTTATTTTGACATAATGTCAAAATAATGTCAAGCTGGAGAACTTCTTACTCCAACTCCTTATTTTACGAGGAGTAAGGGAAGTTGGAGGAAGAGTGCTCTTCCTTGGACTTCCTGCTGCATAGACAGCCCCAAAAAGCCAAAATAAGTTATTTTGACTTGAGCTAAGTCAATTGCGTAGCTTATTTCTACTTTAGCCCTGCTGTGTAGACATGCCTTCAGGGACATAGGATTGCAAGGGACCTCTTGATCTCTGAGTCTAATACCCTGCTATCTCAGGCAACTGTGTCAGAGAATCCCATTAATAAATATCAAGCTCTAACTTAAAACTATTCTGGTTGCTTCCCCAAAGGCTCCTTTCCCCATGGCCAATTATTTGCTTTCATACACTAGCTGGAGTGTGGAGGCTTTTGAACCCAAACTCATGATATTTGTTTTGGCAGGCTCAAAACAATCAATTTGTATTCCCAATAAACTGTTTACCCACCCCAAATTATATAAATTCTCAAATCCCAACTCTCTCTCAACCCAAAATTACTACTAAGCAGTTAATTGCAAACAAGAATTTATAAATTTTAGCAGAAATATGTTTCATAGACCTGAACTACCATGGTTTGTAAATCTTTTCTTAAGCTAGTTAAAGCATCTTGTGCTGTTATCTTGTTTTATTATTATGCCAAAGGTCAGAAAGCAGAGGAAAGAGACTAGAACTTTCAACCTTCATAAATATCTACAGCAAAAACAGCACATGTCCCTGATAATTTTATGCTGCTTGGTTAAAAATTCATCCTCAGGTGCACTCTGAACAAGCTCAAAGTCACAATTTATGCAAAACATTTCCTAAAGTGATAAGCATTCCAAGACATCACCTTTGCAGTCTCCCATATTGGTATGGTCAGTACGTGGTCCAGCAGACACCTGAGACACACGCTGCCAGTCACTGTTATCTTCTGAACTTTGAATCATGCCACACACATTTTCAAGTTCAAAAGTGCATGTGTCCATAAAGCTTAATGAGGAGGCTGTAAGATACAAAAGAAAGTAAGTGGTAAGTCAGAATCCTCGTCTTCCATAGCTGGTGTCAGAGAGAATATAAGACATTAGGCACCTATGGCATTCTATCCATCCACCAATCCCAACAAGTCAATAAGAGTTGCATTTTCAGTACTTCACATAATTGGGCCTTTAATTAGTAGTGACATATTAGAGTGGGACTGATTAATTCAAAGTTCAGGTTCTTTTTCAGCACTCATGAACATCAAATGACTCCATCACAATCAAGAGCTCCGTCAACCATCAATCATCTTCTGCATCTCTAAGTGTTGTATTGTGTAATGGGGTATGCTCACCACCATAGCTGCCTCCTGCTGGACACTCTGGGGAGTTAGCTTTCATCTCTGGAGTGCTCCCTTTCAGGTGGTGCCTCATCTGCTGTTAGCTATTTTTCTTCCACCTCTGTATTAGGACCCACATCCCGCCCAGACCGTGGTGTCCTCCTCTTTGGATACTGCAGTGGCCCCACATTCTGGGGTCCTCAGGGAACAACCAAGCCCCTATACCCACCTTGCCTCAGTGACCCACTGCCAGTTTTCATCAAGCCAACGGCTGGGCAAGATGTAGCCCGGGGTCCGGATCTGGCCTGCCTACCACATTAATCTGGCCTGCAAACAGCATTTTACCACTTTCTATTTATATCCTGCTGCCCATGCCACCAAATTACTAGGCGGTGGCTTAGGCAGTTGGATCCTATTTAAATGGCTCCTGGTTGCAGAGCTACCTCAGCAAGGGCCAGAGCTGTGAGCCCTTTGCTGTGTTTTTAATTCAAAGCTTCTGGCCCACACAACTCTGGGGGGGATGCTAGTCCCCAGCCCCTCTCTTCTGCCCCAGACCTCTCCCCTTCCAGGGGTGGAGCTGGCACACAACCACATACCAAAATTCATTAAATGGCCCCCTTGCAAAAATTATTGCTCACCTCTGATCTAGCCCCTGCCTCAGGGGCAAACTGCAGTCTCAAATGGCCACTCACCATTGGCAAGGAGGGTATGGGTGTGCTGCATTGGCCTCCCCTGGCTTCCCCTCTGCAGCCTGAGTACCCTCAGGCCTTGCTTCAGGCCCTGCAGCTTGGGAGCTTGCCTGGCCGGAGCTTCCTCAGCCCTGCCTGCCTTTCCCAGCCCTGTTCTACCTTAGGAAACATCTAACTTCCCCGATAGCTAGGTAACTCCTACTCCACAGCTGGAGCAAGAAGAGTGAATCTGTCTGTCTTGCCTCCCTTCCAGGAGCCTTTATTTGTACTTCCCTCATCTGGGTGCTAATTGGCTCCTATCTGCTTCAGTGCTGTTTGCTCCAGGGCTCCAGCACTCTCCTAGAACTGGGCTTTAACCCTTAAAGGGACAGATGTCCCATCACATATTGATATTGTGAAATAGATAATTCTTTATAAAAATGACAGCCCAGATCCTCCGTCTTTACTCAATTAAAATGATATTGGACTCTCCTCCCCAGACTGACATCTCCTCCATTTATCCCAGGCATGGCTACTGGTTTTCCCAAAATTTCTCTGATGACTACTAATTTTGGAACATCAGTTGAATGTAACACTAAAGAGCATTATGCTGGACATAATTTAGCTGCAATATTAAAAATAACACAAACACCTGTTTGCACTTGAAACTTGTGGTTACATCAGCCCATGGAAATTGTGAAAGTTTTGTCTGTCTCATATAAAAAATAAACTAAAACTATACTTGCTGAATGCACAATACGTAGTTTAATAATAAATATTAAGCAGACTGTAAGAAAAAGCACAGCTAATCTAGGAGAGATATTGGTTGAAATCCTGCCCCAATGAAATCTGTAGCAAAACACACAAGATTTCAATAGGTCTATGATTTCTCTCACCCACTGGATATGAATGCAAATAGAGGTAAGAGATCTAGATTGGCAGGTATGTGGCGAGGAAAGACCAAGAAAGTGGTTGTATACAATTTAGAAAAGGGGAAACAGAGTTGCAGAAGATAAGGAGAGAACCCAGTTATGGCCCCAATGAACGCTAAGCACATATGTCAGTCTCACAGAGCTCCACTGCTTCATGTGCCTAAAGTTACGCATGTGTTTGTGTGCTGCTGAACTGGGACCTAAGTCAGAATAGGGATTTTTACTAGAAACATGTAGAATTCTAATGTTCGTATTTATTGCATAATGGTTTTGAAACCATAATTCTTTTAATCATAATGTCTAATGATACATCATTTGCTTGATGTTGTGGTGAGGTTACAAAAAAGTTAGAATGTACGCCATTGTATACTTAACTGAATTGGTTTAGTCAATCACAATTACAGATATATGGATCCATGATATATTATAATTCATCTTCCCTTGTTTTCACTCATCTTCTTGAATTACATGGCTTAAGTGCAGAAGCACTGGTCTCACACTGTCACTATACTGTATATAGACTAGATGTGGAAGAGATTTAATGCAGACCTATTTTCTTCAGAGAAACTCCACAGTCTAATTTGATGATACATTCTTTATCCCACAAACTGTGAGAGGTAAGTGTATAGCCAGTGGAAATATAATAGAAACAGCAGTGACTACTGTATTTTTCTACAGTTGCTACTGTAACTGCTCTGGAATCAAAAAACTGTGTACAGCAAAGCATATCTAAAAACAACCACCCAAGCTATAAACACAAGTCAATTGACTAGTAAAGCCGTTCTTTAATTAAAGGTCAAATAAAATTTCAGGGGAAGCTTTGCATTACCTCCTACACAGCAGGACTCCTGTAGGAGTGTTCTATTATTTCTAGCTATTTTCACTGCACTGTTATTTCTGGTGCTCTTAATATACCACTTTTTAAAACTGTTAACTTCTCTGTTACTTGTGCTGGGTGCATCCAATATGGGTATTTTTTTCTTGATTTCTTCTATATAATAGACAGGATAAGCAATAATGATTCAAGAGAACTTGAAAAACTTACTGCAGTTGTATAGGCGATTTAGCTTCTGGAGATCATAATCACTGAAGTCCATCCTTTGCCCAATCACATCCATGAAGTCTGGTATGTTAGTTATTATGGTTGGTTCAGTTCCATTCCTGAATGCCGTTTTACTATAGTGCATCACAGAAGTGTAATCATAGGGAACATTCAGGGCACTTGATGTTTTATCATCATATGTATTGAAATTGTGTTCTTTACCTAATGAAGGATGTAAAAGTTACCTAAAATACATATGTGAAGTGTCTGCATTTACATTAAGAAAACTATGTCATTTAAGATTTCAAGGACTGAATAATAGATTTTTAAGGGGAAAAGGGAGCATTATAATTATTTAGTCTGCCTTGCTGCCATGGAATTTTACTGTGTGATTCCTGCATCAAATCCATAACTTCTGGTTAAAGTATATTGTTGGCACCTCCAGTTTTGCTTTGAAGACTCCCCCTCTTCCCCCCGACACACACACACACACACACACACACACACACACACACACACACACACACACACACACACACACACACACACACACAGACTTACCTTATTTCTGGTTCTGGAAATGTTTGTTGCTTCAACTTACAAGAACTGAAAGTTTTGACTTTGGATGGTTTAATATAAAACTTTTTGATGCATGTCTGGTAACTCCCAGTTGCATGTTGCACCAGTAGCATTCACATGGGATTCCTGTTCTATTTTCAGTTTGCATCATGTAAACACATGGTGGTAGTTTATTGGGAACTGAGGGAGTAGCATTGTTGGGGTTGCTTCATAGCAGGGCTGGAATTGTTGCAAGGCATGACTGGGATTGGCTCTTCAGATGGCTGGTATCAAGGTCCTAGATCCCTAGAAGATCCTGGTACTCAGGAGATAGCTCCTCTCTAACATAGGTGCTGACTCTGGGGCTAGAGCATCCATAGGAAAAAAACCAGCACCACTAGTGTCTCCACCAATCAACTCCTCCTCCTCCCTTCCACCCCCCCTCTCCCCACACACCTCCAGGCTGCTGACAGGCCTTGCTGATCAGCACATCCCCCTCTCTCCCAGAACTTCTACAGCTGGCAGGCTTAAGGTGGTATCTTGGATGGGTAGCACTATAATGGTGTAGGGTCTTGTTCAGCTCATCATAAAACGGACAGGTTGCTTAGTCTCTTCTGGATTATCGTCTTTTTGTCCCTCATTCTAATATACTTACTCCTGAGCTTAGTGCTCTTTATCTAGCACGGGTCAGCCCCTGGTTGTAGACCTTCTCAGACTTCTGTTTAGCAATGTACACAAAAAGGTCTTTCTTCCAGTGACTGGCCACAAGAACTTCCTGCATGGACACTTCTCCTCAGAT